ATATACTTCGAAGTATCCTCTACAAACTGGGACGTTAGAGGAAAATCTAAATGGGCGGAGCCCCCCTTAACTACTGAAATTCAAAAAGTCCATAAGTACAATTCTTCGCGTAACGAAACCACGAGAAAGTGCAAACTAATTCGTAATGCGGTTGCTACCGGAAAATCCGTTTCAACATGCACATTGGTAATAAGGACTGTTTGCTGTCCGAAAACCTTCCACCGTACACACAGAAGGTACGTTCACACAGACCTATTTGCAATTTTCAGATATACAAAAGAGTTTCGAGATCCAGGCGAAACAAAAATAAAACAGGATTCAAACATACAGAAAATATAGTATTGGAAAACACCGAAAATTGATAACTCACTCGTGCCGCAAGTTGTTCCAGAGTACCCATTTTGACAGGTGCAATTGTAATACGGAGAAGTGTCGGCTGGCGTGACTGTACAGGTGCCTGAGTTCGCACAAGGATTCACACTACACACACCTAAATTTGCCGAAAAGGAAGGATAAAGATAGTAACATAATTAAGTACCGAAATTCAAAAAATTCACAAGCACAATAATTAGCGTAGAAAAACAAGGGAAACGGCACGCAAATTCGAACTGCAGTTGCTACCGGAGTATTCGTTTGGGATGTACAGTGGTCTTCAGGAACGGTTGGACGGGTGCCGAGCAAATGCCACTGTGGGCACAGTGTGGAGGAAAATTTTCGGGTAGAGAAAAGTATGTCAAGATCAGGAAGAAACAAGAAAACAGCATCGAAAAGCAGAGGATATTGATAACTCACTCGTGCTACAACTGGCTCCAGAGTAGCCATTTTGGCAGGTGCAATTGTAATACGGAGAACTGCCGGCTGGCGTGACTGTACAGGTACCTGAGTTTGCACAAGGATTCGAAGTACAGACGCCTAAATTTACAGAAAACGAGTGATTTAGATAGTGACGTACTGAAGTACCAAAATTCAAAAAATTCACAGGGACAATTGTCGGCGCAGCAAAGCCGGTGGAAAGTGGACACTAAGTCGTAATGGAGTTGCTGCGGGAACATCCGTTACTATATGCGCGTTAGTAATAATGCCTGGTTGCTGGCGTTACCGAACAAGTGCTAGTGTTCGCGTGAGAAATATTGTCACGTACACGTTCTTAATATGTTTGAGTCGAGGAAAGGGTTTCGACGTCTGGGAGAAATAGAATATAAATAATATAGCAAGTTGAAAACTCACTTGTGCTGCAAGTATTTCCTGAGTAACCATTTTGGCAGGCGCAACTGTAATACGGAGAACTGCCTGCTGGCGTGATTGTGCAGGAACCTTGGTTTAGACAAGGATTACTGGGACTAACACATACACCTGTTAAACGAAAGCAGGGCGGTGCATGGGATATTTGTATGATAACTTGCAAAAGTGCTTGTCTTCTTACTGGCACAACTTGCATCTGGTTGTTGTGTGTAACCGGGGTTACAGGTGCAAGAAATGTTATTAGAAATCTGCGAATACGAGCAGTTTGCATTTACATCACATCCACCATTGTTCACGTTACAGGAAGCTAGAAATTCATAGGAAAGAAACGTTGAACAGTTGTGTAAAAACTCATATAGGAGCCGAAGTAGTCATGAAGCATCACACATCATTTATTGGCATGTGTTAAACTGTACAGTTATTTTGTGTCGCTTCATTATTCTTTTTTCATGTTTCCTTTTACAAATGGCCATGAGACAGTGAGAAGGATTTAAGGCGTGCTTTTAGATTTGCGGGCGTGTTCATAGCATATAGACACAACCCCATTACTTTTGTAGGTGTCAGATTGTTTTATAGAGTGTGTTTTGTGATTCTTTCACTAATTCAAATAGCACTTTACCTTCTTTCATATCGCCTTTCCTATTAAAAATTCTTGTTACTTTAAAATACGATTTTACTGACTTTTACTTCTTTTATGTAGAGTTTGAAATTGATTGTAAAAGTCGAAATATCACTATATTAAAGTCACAAGAATTTTAATTATGAAATTCTATACAGCTACCTGAACAGTCTTACGTTTGTATCAAATACCCTTGTCCATGAAAGAAAACCTGTCGTATGTCTTAGCACCAGAAAGAATGAAGTCTAACTTTGCAGAAAATTCTTCGAGATTATAATAACGTTTGGATGAAGTGTCAAGGTTGTTTCGTTGATAAAACACCAGGAGATAGATGGCGCTTCTTCAATGACATACGCGGTTCTCTATTCGGTTTTGAGAATCCGTCCAATAAACATTTGAAAATAGCCTGCGTCACGGAATTTTATCATTTTTGGACCTTTCAATGGAGAAAGATAAACTCACTCAAACGGAATGGTGAAAGTTCCTGGAACAGCAAAAATTACACAGAAACATATAGTTTGCATTGCGCTATATTCGATACATTCAAAAATCAATTTCCAAAAGCTTTTGAACTAGGTGAAAAATAGCGTTTTACAAAAATGTATAAAAATATACAAAAAATATGTAAAAATCATTTTAGCTTGTAAAACCTGTTTCAAAGACCGTACCAAGAAAGCAAAATGAGCCGTTTTGTCGAGAATTCGATTCTCTATCGAGTGGTTTAGTTCTAAAAACATTTTCAGAAAATTTCTTGGTTAGCAGAATCTCTTGGTTTTGATCCATAAAGGAGAGTAGGTGAGTCAGTCGAAGTCGGACAAAATTGGAAAAATTCTCTAGTTGTTCATTTCTGAGCTGATCGAAACTTGTTTGGCATGTGTGGTGCTCTGCCAAAGTCACCAGCTTTTTATCATAGAGTTTTGGTGTTTGATTAAGATTTACTGTATAGTCATATGCATTTACAGCATACAGAAAAACTACAATGCACATAACATCATCTAGCGGATGCACATAACATCATCTAGCGGTTATGGAACGAGTTCTTCTATTTGTTTTATCCTGTAACTGTATACTTATATTTCTACAATAGTATATGAGGACTCTACTTTTGTGAGGAGAAACCATATATTTGACATCCGATAGATGAAATGAAAGCTCTTTGAATGTACTGTCAGTGATACGGCTACTTTGAGAACGTAAAAGGTACGGTGTACGATAGCCTCTGGATCGAGATACGAAGCAAGAAAAAATTAAAAATTCACTCTTGCGCTTAAAAACGGATGGTTTTGTACCCGAAGGGAAAATGAACTGACTGCCTGCTCTTTAAATAATTAATATTAGCAAATTAATATTAGCAAGCATATTTCAATAAAAGAGGTATACTCTTTAAAAAAATAGGTTTATTACGAAGCCTAAAAGTGTATAGGGAAGTGCAACTATTTCGAAACCGTTTTAGGATCCGTAGGAATCCTTTTTGGCTTCGTACTTCGACTACGAAACATTTTCTACTATAGTGTCTGATGCCTAGAAAATTTTTCTTTTCAACAAATATCTATAACTGTGGTTTGTCGAAACAGTATCTGTTGATTAGATTATGTGAGGTATTATCCGACAGTATCCCTTTGATGTCGTTCATCACTATTCTATGCTGTTCGTTACATATGTTCTATATAATTTCGTATGTGTTTTCTTATTTTTTGATCACAATAAACAAACTTCTTTCCTTAATAAAGAGTGTGTCTGTGTCATTCTTTGAAGATGGCACAGACACACTCTTTATTAAGGAAAGCAGTTTGAACATAGCGGGGATTAAGCTATTTCTTTCATCGTGATCAAAAGAATAAGAAAACACACAAGAAATTATATACATGTTTTCTCTATGAATGACTGTTTTCAAACAACTTTCGCTGACGGGGTCTGGTCTTCTATTCTGAGGGGAGATTTACATACCACTTAATATACTGCACAAAAGAAGAAGAAATTCACATGTGTAGATTATCGTTCGTTCATTTTAATATTCACTCGGATAAAAGTTTATATAATCTCATTAACGTGAACAAGAATTTCCGACTCAGTACTATTTTCGTTTAGAATAAATATAAATCAAAAGTTTCAATTTCGGGTAGTAGCATTCAGCCATTTTCTGAATTCTTAAATTTTTTTGCTTATTCTTTGGTTGGCGTTCTTATTAGAAAAATGTACCTAATAGGAACGCAGCTAATAAAACAACTGCTGACTACTTCTTTGTTTTTTGAAGTTAATTAGCTCATTTATGCACCATTCGAATCAGCACATGATTATACAAAAGTGTATGGGTCGACGAAGAAATTATTTTGCGGTAAAGGAAAGCTCCGTAACTTAAAAGGTCCATTCTTGTTAGGCACATTTATTCTATAGTTATTTAGCTTTGGACATCATGCAAAAACTAACCTTTTACGAAAAGAATGAGTTTAAACCTTTTCTACGCTTGAATGTTTAATTAAGAATTCCAACCCGTCATCCATTGATTATTTTTCAGAAAAGTGATCTTGTAAAAAGAAGAGAACCGATGCCGACAAGAACTTAGAACGTAATTAATAGAAATATGGTCACAAGCTTTTGCCCCATATTCTTCAAAATCAAGATTACTATAATTACTCTACATTCAGTTTTTGTTTCATGATTATTAAAGTTTCAATTTTTGCTACTTCTTTCAATAGTGAACTACATAATTTCGACGATTTTATTATATCACACATATAATAAAAGAGAACTTAGAAAATTTCTATTCTTTTTCTATGTTAAAAATGAAATGTATATTTCAGCCTTTTGTACGCTCATTAATGTTGGCGCCTGTTGTCGAAATTTTCGTCTTTCCATTTATCGCTGCTGAGAACTCAATTGATGCATATTTATTATCAAGGTACTAAAAGACTAAGTAGTGATGTATGGAGATTTTTCATAGAGCGACCACCGTTACTATTTGTTTAAGACCATTTTAGTAAGTGTTAAGGCCAAATAAAATATATATATTAACTAATTAGCACAGTTAATGTGTTCTTTGATGTGTTATATATAAGAGTGAATAAAAAGTAACCTATTGAAAAAACTGAATAAAATGGAGAAGAAATATAGATTTTATATATTCTCTTTCTTACACAAACATCAAAGAAACGCTCTTTATATTCTACGATTACTCTATTTGTTCCATTTGCTCAGAACATAATTTTGATGGCTTGGCTTATCAACTTTCGAGTTGAGAAGAAACTGAACGCCTTCCTTCAGTTTCGTTACTATTGTCGAATGTTCATTTATGTGTATTAGTTAAGGGTAATACTTTGTATTGTGTGAGTCAACAAGACACAAGTGCCAGCATACACAAGGGACAAGTGCCAGCACTGGCAGCCGGTGACTCTTGGTAGCCCGGAAGATGGATGGACGGACTATGGATAATCGACCATGCTGAGAGTCGTGTCAATGTTTGTTTTTCGAAAAAGTTTTAAGAATTACCGAAAAGCCAGTTTTACGAAAATTGGGGTTTTTGAGCGTGTTTTACCTAATACTAAAAAGTTTACTTTTCACTCAAAAAAGATCACAACAAGCACAAAACTTCAGGATATGATTAATGTTGTCCGCTACATGTGGTGATAAGATCGTGAAGATCGAAAAGCACATTTTTGATAATACGTTTTCCAGAAACTCTTTCGGAAAGGGATTTTTTAAAATTTATTTCGAAATCTTCTATAAACAGGATATAGAACAGCTTAAATACTCTACATTATGAAGTTCATTCTATAAAAAATCAATACATTCGAATTTCGGAAAACCAGACTTAGTTTTTCAAAGATTCTCTAAAACCCGCTCCGAAAATTTTATCCAAAATTCGGTTTTGCTTACAGAAATTTGGGATCAGTGATCTAGTTTTCAAAGCTGAAAACGCAGGTCTCTATCTAGCTTCTGTCAAAAGTTATTAAAAAAGTAACCGATGGCATTTTATTTTGGAGCGGATAGCAGTAAACGGATTTATGTTTATCTTTAAGAAAAAGATGAAGTATCATTCCTTGTCTTAAGGACGGATAGATGAAGCAAAGTTGGAATATCAACAGCTATAAAAGGTTTTTAGACTCGAAAGTAAGATATTGTGTTCACTCCACTCAAACTTTTCTCTTGTTTTGAAAGAAATAGTAGGTACTTGTTCTTACCTAAAGTTGCGCCACAATTTAATCCTGTTGCTTTGACAGCACAATAACTTGTATTTAATTTCCAACATGCACTGTAGTAATTATGCATACACATTCCATCTTGACCACAGTCCGTATCTGTTGAACAATTGTATGCTAATGAATTACAATAGGTATTGTAAATCCAGTAGGCAATTTGATTACTAACATCTTGACAACAGTAGGCAGTAGTAGCATCA